AAAAATTCCAATCTCTAAATCTGTTTTTGGGTTCGTGGTAAAAGAAATAATAGAGAAACATTCAAAGCGTAAGGGGTGTATTCTGAACAGATTTTATGAAAGACGCTTTAAAACGCATTTTCTTTTCTACACAATTAATACAAGAGTAAGCCAACAGTGCAAATGATTGCTTGTGGCTTTCTTCCTAATAGGAATCAGTTTAGCCAAATACTGTAAATGAAATGCCAAATGTCTAACTTGACAAGAGTGCTTAGAATACCATACATAATATAAAATTTAGTTGACACTGTTAAACGAAAATTAATGATTCCTTCAAAATATAAAACCAATGCAAGTCCTTTGCCTCATACATTTACTGAATCCGTATCATAGGCCTCAGAGGGAAAATAAATTTATTTTTAAGGTTATTTTATTTTTTTAATGTAGGAACCTTGTTTCTGATGCTTTCATCAGAATTTTTTCAAGAAGATCCTGAAATATAAACTAATAGATACGTTTTGTCCACTCTTCACTCTTGTTGAAAAGCAACTTTTGATAAAAACAGTACTAGGTAGCCGTGCGCTTAATTCACTAATGAAAAATCAGACTATGATAAGTACAATCACAAAATTAAAATTTATTGTACAAACAGAAAAACGGTACAGTTGAAACGTAAAAGAAAAATGTCAACCAAGTGTGTATAAAGAGACTACAATTTTCTACCATGTTGTATTACATTTTAGAACTTCTTTTCTTGACAAATTCTGCTAAATTGTGTTTCTGGCACATAGCCTGAAGTATATAGTATTTTTTGTGAATAGTAAATTGTAACTTAGAATACAAGTTTTTTTTTTTTCTTATTTAGGTGATGTTATTGGGTTACTGTACGGATGTGTGTCACTTTTTTTTTTACATACAATGAAAGATTAAAAAGGTTCCAAGTCATCCGAGACGTAGCATATCCGGTTCATTTCCATCACGTTGGGCAACGTGACGTCATCTGTGCATGGAGAGAAGACGAAAGCCTTTGAAACTCGACCTCTGGCATGGTCCATATCTCATTCAATAACGAGGCATATTTATTCCTCACTTCTTCTGTAAGTTAATGTACATTGTTAAAGGTGCCTTTTATTCCAGATACCATTTTTAACATGATTAATGGTTCAGATAATACAAAATACTGGTGACAATATGTACAATTATACCATTTAATCAAAGTTATAACAGGCACCCCCTCAAATCCAATGTTTCACTGTGATTTCTACAGATGTAAAGAAATATCTATTAAATTGAAAAGACGCCACCAAAAGTCACCTGAAAAATAGTTGTGCACTTGATTCGTTAAATGAAGAACAGAATATGGAAAGTAGAATCATTAAGTTAAATTTACTGCACAAAGTGGCATTTCGATTCAAATGTTAAAGACACACTTCAAGCAAGTTTGCACAAAGATACCATCATTTCATACATCTGTACTCTGTTATATTACATTTTAGAACTCTCCTTTTATTGACATATTCTACTAAAACGTATTTTCACCAAAATGTCAAGGGCATATGCATGAACTATGCAGTTTGCTGTGTATAGCGACTTTGAAATCAAAATTCAAGATTTCTTCTTATTTGGGTGATATTATTAAACAGACCTTTCTTTCCAGTAAGTTCTTATCAGACACGTGACAGAAAGTACCATACAGATATACCACTCTTGTCTTAATATATTTCATTTTACTAGTGCAAAACAATTAGCGTCTAAATCTTCCATGTACCCGGATTCTTGCATGTACACAAATCCATATATGCAAATTTATAAAATACAAAACAAAGCCTATGTAGCTGATTAATTGCAATCACAACCACAAACAAAAATAGTTAAATGTACACAACATGTAAATAATGAACACATATTCATCTTGAGTGCAGGTGTGATTCATAATATTAGTATAATCATTACGATTATGCTAATTCATATAACCCAGCAGCATATATAATATAAAATACAAAACAAAGCCTATGTCAAAATTAATTGCAATCATCACCACTCACAAATTATTTAAAGGTACACAACATTTAAATAATGAACACATATTTATCTTGAATACAGGTGTGATTCACAATATTAGTATAATCAGATCAATTGAAATACGTTGAAAACATAGAATGCTGTACATAAATTTTATAGATATACTCTTGGCGAAAGAAAATCATTGTACATCTAACAATTTTATCTTAACCAAGGAATAACTTAACACCACATCAAATAAAGCAATGACATCGGATGTAAATAGCAAGCATTATCAGAATGAATGCAATAAATGTACAATATTTCAAAGTATTTTCTACTTTTTAAGGCAGCTATGAAAATTAATTTTAAGTTATCCATATATGTTAAATGAATGGAAGACAAACCAGTTTTTCAATAAATCATCAATCACCTAATCAGAAATAATAATATTCTGATGGTTTCCTTTAAGAACAACAGTAATCCTGAGTTCCAGGTCGTAGATGGCTACTGAACACACCAACCTATATTTTAATTATTGAGAAGGAATCAAACAAAGAGTTGTTAGTAAAGTTTGACATACAGATATAGGCTTGGGATAAGTAAGATGTACTCTTTCATTTTTATATAACGGTAGGCCAGTCTTAGGTTGGAAAAATGGTGACAACGTTTTTTCAACTGATTCTGGTCCGTTAATGGCCTAATAATAAAGCATATATTATATATTTTTTTCTGCCAATAAGACTCTTATCGTGACAAAACGTGTTCAAAACATGTTTGCTACTTCTATAAAATCAATTTACAAGCCATATGTACTGAAATGTTGTTGACCATTCTATCAATTGGAAAAGACACATCTTCTATTTAACACAACTCTTCATTCGACCATCTTAACGAATGTAGCCCCATTCCGGCAGACACCCTTCCCAGCGAAGCGATACTTGACCACGGCTTTGTTGCTGTCGTTGTCATTCACCTTGGCATTGGCGTTTAAGCTCTCAAGTGGAACAACCAAAGATTCCAAGTCTTCAGAAACGTAGCATCTCAGGTTCATCTCCGTCATGTTGGACAATGTGACTTCATCTGTGGTTGACTTAGTGCGTTGGAGGGAGGAAGCAAACTTTTGGAACTCGTCCTCTGGCATGGCCCATATATCATTCAATAACGAGACATATTTATTCCTGACTTTGTCTGTAAGTAAGAAAAAAAAATGTTGAATTAATAAACTTCGATCAAAGTTGCTTATTTTGAACTATAAAAACAAATGAAATATGATTAATACGTTTAATCAACCCGACAGATAGGCTATTTTTTCTCATAACATTTAGTAGAATAAACACATAAACGGCCCAAGTGTATTTAAAATATCGGATCTGTTAAATACCACTAACCCAGGCATGCGTTCAGCTGATGGTCCTTCAGAGCCTTGAACAGGTCATGGGCTGTTGCTCCAGCCGACCTTTCTTTCCACAGCCACAGAATCTGGAAGGATTGCTCCTGTGCATGGCGTTGGTTCTCGTACTCTATGTTGTCTAGCTTGGCGTCTGGGATTTCCAGTTGTGCACGTGCCAGCGTACGGATATCTTTGAGAGACACGTGATCACTTATTGCCAAAATCACCTCGCGAAGAAGATGGGCCTGAAAAAAACAACACTGATCTTGTCATTCTAGAGCTTGACTGAGCATGTTAAACCCCCAAAAATAATAAAAGAGAAAATTAAAAGGGAAACAAAAACGGAAAATAAAGAAAAAAGGAAGCACGTTATGGCATATACCTGATTACTTTACAAATGAAGAATTATTACGTCATTTGACAGTACTAACCTGTATTGGTGGCAAGGCATATCTATGGATCACAATCTTAACGTGTTCATGACCTCTTTTTACAGCCATGTCATATGCTGTTTCTTTGTACTACATTATAAAGTTAAGACAAATATTCAGTCGCATCATTAACATAATGTGTATGTACGGGAAGTTAGATATATCAGTGCAGTTATGACCAATTGTTTACTTTTCATATTATTTTAAACGGTAATTATATAATATAATAAAATTAACAAATTTAATTAATTATTCTAAACATTGTGTGATGAATCATCTATTCAGCAAAATCCAGTGTACATGTATGTTACCAACCAACTAAGGACATTTTGTGTATATAGTATTATGTACCTACAAACCTTATCCGTGATATAAGGATCAGCTCCATGCTCCAGGAGAAGCTTCACGATGTCTTTATGGCCTTTATATGCTGCCTCATGTAATGCAGTTCTCCCCCACTGGTAACAATATATAAGTGTTATAATGATGATATAAGATATTGTTTTTCTTTATATTTTATTAATGCAATGAACGGGAAGGAATTAATTTGCATATGTAACACCAGTCCTATATTTTCTTTCTTTACATTTTATTCACTCATTATAACCAGATAAAAAGTAAACAATTAAACAAACTCATCGATCATTGACAAAATAGTGGAAGTACATGTATACCCTCCTTATGTATATCACGCCAGCCGACAAAGACCACGGTGATTTATCTATACAACAGTACATAAACTGCCACAAACCTGATCCATGATATTAGTTATCACTTTTGGCTTACTTTTCATGTTATTTTTAAACGGTAATTATACGATAAAATAAAATATACAAAGGATGATCAGTGCGAATAAGGGGGTAAAAGTGCCCACTTTTGTTCATGAAAAATAAATTGTGAATGAATGGAAAAAAAAATTATGCCAAATTAAAGTTGGGGTCTTACACTTTTATGATCCACTTTAAAAAAAAATATTGAATCTGAAATATAAAAATTTAATGTCAAAATGACCTTGTCAAATATTCATGAAAATATGTGTTTTAGGGGGGTCTGAATTGCAATGCTACATATCAAGTTATAGTAAGGTGACAACTGTGAGATTTTGTAAATTGGTACAGAAGGTGCCCATGTAAAAAAGTAAGGCAATATGTGGCCAATCATTGTTTGTGANAAAATATCGGATCTGTTAAATACCACTAACCCAGGCATGCGTTCAGCTGATGGTCCTTCAGAGCCTTGAACAGGTCATGGGCTGTTGCTCCAGCCGACCTTTCTTTCCACAGCCACAGAATCTGGAAGGATTGCTCCTGTGCATGGCGTTGGTTCTCGTACTCTATGTTGTCTAGCTTGGCGTCTGGGATTTCCAGTTGTGCACGTGCCAGCGTACGGATATCTTTGAGAGACACGTGATCACTTATTGCCAAAATCACCTCGCGAAGAAGATGGGCCTGAAAAAAACAACACTGATCTTGTCATTCTAGAGCTTGACTGAGCATGTTAACCCCCCAAAAATAATAAAAGAGAAAATTAAAAGGGAAACAAAAACGGAAAATAAAGAAAAAAGGAAGCACGTTATGGCATATACCTGATTACTTTACAAATGAAGAATTATTACGTCATTTGACAGTACTAACCTGTATTGGTGGCAAGGCATATCTATGGATCACAATCTTAACGTGTTCATGACCTCTTTTTACAGCCATGTCATATGCTGTTTCTTTGTACTACATTATAAAGTTAAGACAAATATTCAGTCGCATCATTAACATAATGTGTATGTACGGGAAGTTAGATATATCAGTGCAGTTATGACCAATTGTTTACTTTTCATATTATTTTAAACGGTAATTATATAATATAATAAAATTAACAAATTTAATTAATTATTCTAAACATTGTGTGATGAATCATCTATTCAGCAAAATCCAGTGTACATGTATGTTACCAACCAACTAAGGACATTTTGTGTATATAGTATTATGTACCTACAAACCTTATCCGTGATATAAGGATCAGCTCCATGCTCCAGGAGAAGCTTCACGATGTCTTTATGGCCTTTATATGCTGCCTCATGTAATGCAGTTCTCCCCCACTGGTAACAATATATAAGTGTTATAATGATGATATAAGATATTGTTTTTCTTTATATTTTATTAATGCAATGAACGGGAAGGAATTAATTTGCATATGTAACACCAGTCCTATATTTTCTTTCTTTACATTTTATTCACTCATTATAACCAGATAAAAAGTAAACAATTAAACAAACTCATCGATCATTGACAAAATAGTGGAAGTACATGTATACCCTCCTTATGTATATCACGCCAGCCGACAAAGACCACGGTAATTTATCTATACAACAGTACATAAACTGCCACAAACCTGATCCATGATATTAGTTATCACTTTTGGCTTACTTTTCATGTTATTTTTAAACGGTAATTATACGATAAAATAAAATATACAAAGGATGATCAGTGCGAATAAGGGGGTAAAAGTGCCCACTTTTGTTCATGAAAAATAAATTGTGAATGAATGGAAAAAAAAATTATGCCAAATTAAAGTTGGGGTCTTACACTTTTATGATCCACTTTAAAAAAAAATATTGAATCTGAAATATAAAAATTTAATGTCAAAATGACCTTGTCAAATATTCATGAAAATATGTGTTTTAGGGGGGTCTGAATTGCAATGCTACATATCAAGTTATAGTAAGGTGACAACTGTGAGATTTTGTAAATTGGTACAGAAGGTGCCCATGTAAAAAAGTAAGGCAATATGTGGCCAATCATTGTTTGTGATCAATATTTTTATTACTTTATTTGTACATGTAGTGCTGATTGAAAGAAGAATCTTACAGTAACTTGAGGGTAAAAGATGTTCATTTTTTATATGAGCCCCTGCCTCAGACAAGCTAATTTTTCACTGTTGAAAAGACATGAATATAAGGTGAGATATATGTGAAAATCAGCTTGTCTGAGGGTTGGGCTCGATATGTACTCAAACTAAATAGGGACATTTTCAGTCCATATGCTAGCAGGCGGCCATGTTTTTTCCTGCCATGAGGTAGCTGCTACATGCTTACATAGGATGGCTAGGCAGATACAGTGAAGCTTTTGTACAAAAAGAACAACCCAAAATAAAATGTAGGTCTTTGAAAGGAAAATAGGGATTAGAGTCAGTTAAATATTTTCATTTACAACAAAAAAAGAAAAGTCATTTTCATGTAATGCATGCTATCAAAAAAAAAAAAAAAAAAAAAAAGGGTGGGGGAATATGGATAGGAAATATGGAGTCCAAATACAGTAAGTATATCTTACTTTCATTCTTATTTCTTAGGATTAAGAAAGATTTAATGTAAAATGTGCTTCAGATATTCAAAGTTATATTAATTATCATAATAGCAGATGTACATTGCGGTGGCTCCTACTTTATATAGAGACCCATGCTGAAATAGACCTCTACACATAAGGGTGGCTTGACACAACCCCCTCTAATGGGCATGAAAGTACATTTTGTACAACCAAAATTGCTGTGTTAATGTCCCCTTTTATGTTTATTTTGCATAAAAAGTAAAATAAAAGGCCCCATCACACACCCTAGTTTAGTTACTTATGACCTAATCTTCAACACCAGCACTATTCATAGTAGCTTTGCAGAGTTTTTTTTCTTCTTTTTTCACCAAAATGCTATGAATGACTTTATTTGTCAAGGAAATCAGTGAGAACCTATTGACTTGGTAAATAGTCCATACAAGAGACCACCAGCCTATAATAAATACCAGAAGTTTACCAGATAAAGCAAGCTAGCCAATATACTGATGAGCATCTGCTAGATGGCCAGTTTGAAATCAGTGTATGCAAGGATGCACCCGATTTAATCAGAGCCAAAATAGTTAATTAAGACACACATCTAGCCACCGGTGCACATTATGGATTCAGACCTCCCATAGCAAAACTAGACCCATCAGTGGCTGGTACTGACAGTGTAAAGCTGGTTCCAAGACAGTTGGAAGTTGTGCACATATCACTTCATTCCTGTGGCATATGGGGATTGCCATGAGGCAGGGATGCAATTGAAAATAATGTTGTGGAGAAGGCTGTTTGGATGTCTCACATTTACCAACATCAAATGGTGACAGTGTTAGCGAGACAAAAAGTGTTTCGGACAGCACATCTGGTGAATTATTTATTGTTTCATTATACATTTTTAATACTCATATTTGTATATTTGTATAAAATAACTCTTGCATTGAATTCTATACAAGGTCTTTATCACATACATAATCATATATGAAGTATTTTTTTAGGTGATTTAATTTCATTGTCATACAGATTATTGGCCATAACTGTTATTATGTGTACAATATTTTCATTTAGTTTTTAGTTATACCTTACATTATTTTGGTACAATTTATACCTTGTTTATTTTATGGTTTATGGAAACATTCCAAATAGCTGTTTAAAGTGCTTTTACACATGATTTTTTTTTTTTGTTACTGTAACAGCCTTTTGCTTTTAGCATTTTTTACTATTCCTTAGAGCCTCGTACAAAATGTGTATTGGTTAAAAATACTATTATTTAGACCAACAAATGTTGGTCTGTGAAAAAAGTTATATAAAATTAATAAATACCCTGAAAGAAGTTTCTCTAGTAGTCTTTTATACAGCTAGGTGAAATCAGTGATGGCTTCTGTGAGAAAATACCGTAATATACCACCCCTCCCTCTCTTCTCTAGGATTAAAAAAAAAAAAAAAACAACCAAACACCACAATTCCAGACTTGACATTTAATATGGATTATTTTTTTCCAAATAAATTTTTCATCAGGTTTTTCCTATTTTGCAGACTGATAAATGAAAATAGGAATTAAAATCGTTCTTTAATAACTTTTAATTATCTATTTGATGTCATTGTGACTTCATTTCATTAATGGAATTCGCCAGAGAAGCAAACAAAAACACATTGCCTATTCTATGTCATACAACAACCATTAAAAGGGATATTTTAGACCTCCATATTTTCTAAATTTTTGTCTGTAAAAGAGTTAAACGTTCCACAAAAGGACCCTCATGTCAGTGTCTTGTCACAGTAACGGTCGATGTTACGCCTGACTTCTTCTGGCTGCTACCAGCGCTCTCAAGTGGCAAGGCATTTAATGGGATAGGTTTTTAAAGTTCACTCTGGAATAATATTACAGGCATTGGTCAAAATCTGCCCAATTTGGTCCAGTTTTGTTGTAGGACATGTAGGCCATTGATTCGGAGAGTAATGGCCTACCCACATATTGTCTAAGTGGTTCAAATATGGCGATTTTGATGACCATGGTAGCTGCTCATTCCCTTGGTTCTGTAAGTAAACTGCTACTTATAGTGCTCTGTGTGAACCGGCAATCTCACCGTGCAACCTAAAATTGTTCCTAAGTTGCCCCCTATCAAATGATAGCCAAGTGGTTCCCCGATTATTTCTTTATTTGATCTGGTTCAGGTTTTCGTCGATGACTACCATTGGTGTTTTGGCACCAATGTGGTAACCACTCCAAATACTGACGCTGTTAATGACCTTAGTCACTTTAGACACGGCACACGCTTCGTCGTTGGCCTCTTCTGGATGTCTGTAAACTCTGTTTTGACTGTTGAGCGGTACAGGTGAAATCTGACCTCAATAAAGAAAGCCACGAGATTTCAGTGTTCAACCCAGAAACAGTCTAGGTACCCAATTCAATAGAGAAACATACAACGATGTTTTGCTGTTTACAGTGGGTTCCTCAGAGGTCGTCTGGTATTCTAACCTGCTAAAACCAGTTTGGTGTTTGCTAAGGGCCTTGAAAAATGCGTTTTGGTGGTAATTTACCCCTCATTCTGAACGGACTAGGTTTTTTTTTTAGTTGCAACAGCACATCTCGAAGGACAGTGGGTCCTGTACCCTGGTGGTAAGATTTCAATACATTGGGTGTCGCCTCTGTGTAGGTACATCCGTCTGGGCATTACTCTGTAAAACTGTGCGGCCCGTTTTGTTTGGCGCAATTACCTGTCTGGCAATGCCTGATTTTTAACGCCATTCTGCTACAGATTAACAAATTTGTAAAACATTGCATAGCTCATTTTACACATTGCGAACGCGACCACTTGCATGCAAAATTTCAAATTCTTCTCTGCAGTAGTTGCCGACATATGGATACATTTTTGACAGAACCATGCTTTGCCAAAGCCAAGCTTTGACCTACCCAAAGAAGCACTACCCAATTTAATCACTGCATATTACATAATGCAGCTGCGCAACAAACCTGGTAATCAGTTAATTGGTAGCGACACACCTGACTACACACTTCTCCATTCACATATCTTATATGAGATCGGAGTTTGTGAAAAAAAAAAAAAAAACGCATTATCAACTAGGCATACATTCGAAACTGAAATATCCCATATCAAATGTCAAGTCTGTATTTAACATATAACTCTTTTTTACATCACAAGACAAGTTTCATTAGAAAAAATCGTTTATGTAATATAAATGCTGAAACAAGTTGCTCTGATTCATAAGACTGCATACAACAGGTAAATCTGGCTACCCCATTAACTCATTAAAAATACTAAGTTATAATGCCTCAAACCAAATAATATTTTTCCATGCAACAAATATATGCATAAACTTTATAATAGCAAATTATTAAAAAAATTTGAGGATGGGCACTTTGCCAATGGTTTTTCACACTCATCCTTTAATTAATTATTCCAAACATTGTTTAAATGAATCATCTATTCAGCAAAATCCAGTGCACATGTATGCCAACTAATAGTCAGGCGGTTAAGTCCAAATTATATTCAGAATTGTACAAAAGTTGATAAAAGCATGAAACTTTCCACGATGAATGACCCTTAGGTGTTTGTCAATTCTGGATCGGGGGGCAACTCCAAAATTCACAAGTACCCGGATGAGACGCTTTCTTAAATATGCTGACTCAGCATTTCATGTACATTCAGATTTCATCAAAACGAGCACTAACAGTACTAATTATGATACCATAAATAGATTTAAAAACGTACGCTCACTGTACACATCTATGAGAGCAATGATGACGTCACGATGACGTCACTGGGTGATATTGCACAATTTAGGATGACAAATATCCACTTTCTCCTACAGGAACAACAGTCGAACTCTGTAATGTTTCTTTTCGTATTTTTATTACAGAAATGCATCCTTTAGGGTTAGAAAGATAAAATTATCTTGATTGCTACTTCCAAGACATTGAGCATTTTCAATATGGCCGTCAATTTTTGAGGAAAAACAAAAAAACAACCAGAAGTCGACTGATATACTTTATTTGTGGCTGTTGTGAATGTGTTTCATGTCGGATGAACACAGTAGGACACAAGACTACATCTTAGCACGTCGTTGTTACTGGTAAAAAACAAAATGGCCGCCAAAACAAAGGGTAGAGGCAGAGAGTAAAGTAAATCAGCAAAATCAGCATATTTCTAGAATCATCAGTCTAAATAACGGGATCTTCTTCTTTGATTTTTCCGTTAATTGTGATTTTTCGTTAGCTTTTATCCTACAGTACCATTATCTTCTTGTTTAATATTAAACTTATGTGTGTTGAGGGCCTTTGCTCTCCAAGTAGTCAGGTTACCAATCTAATTGGTCCCATAGTTGAACAATACTATGTTGTTTTCTGTAATTGTTTGAAAAAGAAATGCCCCTTTTTTGGTCAGAAAAGTCAACTTAGCTTGGCTTTACTAACTTCTGGGACATTGGCACTTTTCGTAATCCAAAATAACTGCTAATTTTTACGCAAAATTACATAAACATTAATAGCAATTTACATCAAACTATATACAGTGTGTGTATATTCTTCATTTTAAAGTTTATTTGCATGTTTACAAATACAGAGGTGGTGTTTATTAGGGTTTTCTTTCACATAATCTGCAAGTGTCATTTGTTAAAATAGAAATAGCAAAATAGTCACCAAAACGGCACGGAAAAGGCAGGTAAAAAGCTGGTAAATTATGTTTTTCAGCTGAAAAAGATTTTAAACGAATGAAATCTGCATATACATTGTATGTCAGTAAAATAATACGCCTGTGGTCAATGCAGGTAACGAAATAAAACAGATTGGTTAATTAGATGTTACAAAGAGGAAAGGAAATATGTTTGTCAGATTTCTTCTTTCGTTAACCAGTCAGTCATCTCTGTCAGCAGCAACCTCTTAATGTTTAAAAAATGAGGCTACTGACCAATGCTAGGCATTTCGAACTTTTATTAGATTTTTTATCAAGCTTGCCGTTAAATTACGAAAGCTGAAACCTATCAGACCTTCAAGCAGATGATTGGCAGCGGTCGGACCCAGACGCCAAGGCAATTTTCATACCTTTAGCAGGAGGTTGTTTTCGATCTGAGGGAGACGAGAAAGCAATTTTCATATCCGTGCAAAGGACTTCGTCAGCGACAGATCGTCAGCGGGCGATGGCTCCGTTTCCTTCTTCCTTTGGTGGGTTAAGGGGGCATAACAATAGCAAAGGTGTTTAAAACTATTGTTATTCACAAAATTTAAAGCAATAATAGCTCTTCCTTTGAGATTCAAACTTCCGCAAGAAATACATTGTAAACAACTCCTGGAAATATATTCTGTTGCATTTTCCCACTAAAACGACTGTTATTGTAGTAAAATTAAAATCTGTGCTTGTCACTTGGGCTTTCGATGCCTTTTCTGCGGTCGACAAGTGCATCCGTTGCTAATGACGTAATGGTGTCACGCGGATTCTCGCGTTCATTCGAGACCAAAATAACATGGCGGGAAACCCTCAGACGTAAGTTGCGAGTTTTTTTACAGTGCGTCGGATAACGAAAAGCCCAGAATTGCACACATTGTAGATATAAATGCATTTTGAGCAAAAAAGACGAATACATCTTATGAATCTTATAATATTGTTATATAGTGTTGTTGTCTGCTTTTCCCGCGGTTTTAAGTAGGTCACTAGAAACTATCGCTCGATACAAGAGGGCTCCCTCAGTTAAAATCTCTTAAGAGATTTAAAAAAAACCCGTACGTTTAGGAAAAAAACCTGGAATAACTTTGAATGCAGGAATGGGGTTGTTGACCATTGGTAAGTACGGGAAAATTGCCGTTTTTTCCAGGAAAATCGTATTTTTGGCCAAAACGAAGAGTTATTATGACTTTAAGTTGTGCTTCTTTATTCTGACCACGTGTGTTAAAAATCCTAGGAATATGTCCCGACATCGTGTCTATCTCCAAGAAAAGCCACACGGAAGGCGTGCTGCAACTGCATTGAGACTGAACGCACTCGGTATGATCACTTTCACCCGACAAAGCGAATTTTCCCTACAAATCCTTAAGCCTGGGTCCCAATCCAATATACGGGCATCTACGTCTGGTCTACGGCCAAAAAATTGATGTCAAGTTTTAAAAATGCCTAAAAAGACAGCAAAGAGCAAGAGGGAGAGGGGGATCGGGGACAAGCAAAGCATTATTGGGCTCACCATCTTTGAACAATGCTGCGGATATAATGACCTTCTCAAACATGCACCTGTTTTTATACCTCCCCCAAAACATCTGAGATTCGCCTGCAAAGGACGAGCAACAACGTAGTGCACGATGCGGGACACGTGCTAAAGTCCGTCGGGCGCAGAGATACTTCTGACGTGCGGAGGCTGAGCTTCTCAGGTACTGTCCACGCACTTTCTTCTTGCGCACTAATTACAATCACCAGTTACTTGATTTTCCCTACGATCTAGCTACGGCCCAGCCAGACGAGAGGAACCTAAATAACTGTACGTCCTGAAAATCATGCGTGGAGTTGGGACCCAGGCTTAACCTCATATTAGCGACGAGACACGGCACAAGCATGTACTGTAGAGATAATTGCCGTTGCCCGTAGCCTCTTACGATGTCATAAAAATCCCACGGAAAACGTGTACGAGTTCATTGTACAACGTCCGTAGCATATGTCATTTAGACTTTAGCGATCCAAACGAGATGAAGAGGCAATTTTTTTTTTCATATCGTCAGCGGAATATCGGTAGCGATCCTAGCGAGACGAGAAGGTAATTTTCATATTTGTTTTAGGGACTTCGTCAGCAGAAGATCGTCAGCGGGAGATAGTTATTGATCCAAACAAAAAGAGAAGGCAATTTGAATATTAATTTTTCAAGGGCCTCATTTGTGGAAGATCGTCTGCGGGAGACCCGGTGGTTAGGATGCTATCATTCGCATTCGTGAAATATGCTAATATCTAGCCCTGCAAGAACAAAATTTATTCACATGGTTGTAGATGGTAACAACTGACTACTGAATGTTTATTTTACATTAAAACGTGCTCTAGCAGTTCAGATTCCCACCAAAAAGAAATTGCCAAAATATGTCTTTAAATGATTTTTAAAATATTTTATACTATTTTTTAAAATATTTTTATTTATACACCCCTCCTTTGAAAATTAATCTTTCTTTTTTTTTCATTTCATTCCTTTTATTTTTGAGTGTCAAACAAGCTGATAATGATAGGTAAGGACCATAGCTAATTAGAAATCCAAATGAACAGAAAAATCGAAAGCATAAAAAGTTTTAATTAGACTTATTATACAAGTTATAGACTGATTATACTGCTATACTTCATCCTCTGCTGTATGCGTTGGCGACCATTTTGATTTTTCAACTTGCTAGTATGCAGGCATTTATCCTACTGTGTTCTTATGACGGCAAATGTGTTCACAATAGCCACAAATAAATTATATCTGTCAACTCTGTGTACGTTTCTCAAATTTATTCATGTTATCATAATTAACAACGGTAGAGCTCGTTTACGTGAATTCTGGATGTACATAAAATACTGAGTCAGCATATTTTAAGAAAGCTGCTCATCCGGGTACTTGTGAATTTTGGAGTTGCCCCCCGATCCAAAATGGACAAACACCCAATGGTCATTCATCATGGAACGTTTCATGCTTTTTTCAACTTTTGCACAATTTTTTTGCTTAGCCGCCTAACTATAAGGGCATTTTGTGTATATAGTATTATGTGTCCACAAACCTTATCCGTGATATAAGGATAAGCTCCATGCTCCAGGAGAAGTTTCACGGTGTCTTCTTGGCCTTTATCTGCTGCCTCATGTAATGCAGTTCTGCCCCACTGGTAACGATAAATAATCTCTATAATGATAATATCCGATATTGTCTTTCTTCACATATCATTCATATATTGTACATGAATATGTGTGCTGATAAAAGTAACACAGGGGTGAAATAATAAACGTTTATAGTCAGCACTGACATGCTTACTTTGCAAATGTGAGCAAATAATCTAAATAAGGAGAAACCATACAGTGCTTAAATAAAGAGGTATTAATTGGTACTTTACTGTTTGCATTATGATGTCCCATGCTCTCTTTATTTACATTGTATTTACTTATTGTTACCAAATAATAATAACAGCAAAATGTACCATTTATTTCAGTGTAATAGTTGGAGTATACACACTTTAGATGTATCTAACCAACCAACTAACTCCTGGGGACTTGATTTATATAACATTATGTCCTACTTACTATATCGCTGATATAAGGATCAGCTCCACGCTCTAGGAGAAGCTTTACGATATCTTCATGTTTTCCACACGCTGCCTGTTGTAAAGGAGCACTGCCAAACTGGTAACAACAAATGATCAACATTATGATATCATATCATTTTATATTTTTTCACTTATTTTCACTTTACTTTACTTATGTGTTGGATTAACTAACGTTCAGATAAAACAACCAAAATTGCTCAATGTATCAGCAGTCAAATGCTTACAGAGCAAATATTAAGAAAATAATCTAATAAGGAAAGAAATATTATAATGTGCAAGTAAAGATAATATATTTTTTTATTAATGCAAGAATAGGAAAGGAATTATTTTGCACCTAACTGTTCCCCTCTTTTCTTTACTAACATTTTATTCACTCATTATAACCAGATAAAAAGTAAACAATTAAACAAACCCGTCGATAGTTTATGACAAAACAGTGGAAGTACACGTAAACCCTCCTTATGTTCATCAAACTATCCGACAAAGACCACGGTAATTTATTTATACAACAGTGCATGTATGTGTCACAAACCTCATTGGTGATATTAGGATCAGCTCCATGCTCCAGGAGAAGCTTCACTATGTCTTCATGGCCTTCATACGCTGTCCTATATAATGTTGTTCTGTCCCACTGGTAACGTTTACATAAGGAATCATAATGTGTATGTATGGGAAGTTAGATATATCAGTGCAGTTATGACCAATGGCTTACTTTCCATATTATTTTTAAACAGTAATTATATAAAAAAATAAAATGAACACATTTATTTAATTATTCTTAACATTATTTAAATGAATCCTCTATTCTGCAAAATAAAGTGTACATGTATGTTACCAACAAACTAAGGGCATTTTGTGTATATAGTATTATGTGTCCACAAACCTCATCAGTGATATTAGGATCAGCTCCACGCTCCAGGAGAAGCTTCACGATGCCTCCATTGCCTTCCTCTGCTGCCTCATGTAAAGGAGTCATGCCAACCTGGTAACAATTACATAAGGAATCATAATGTGTATGTATGGGAAGTTAGATATATCAGTGCAGTTATGACCAATGGTTTACTTTTCATATTATTTTTAAACAGTAATTATATAGTAAAATAAAATAAATTAATTTATTTGATTATTCTAAACATTATTTAAATGAATCTTCTATTCTGCAAAATAAAGTGTACATGTATGTTACCAACAAACTAAGGACATTTTGTGTATATAGTATTATGTGTGACAAACCTCATTGGTGATATTAGGATCAGCTCCATGCTCCAGGAGAAGCTTCGCGATGTCTTCATGGCCTTTATATGCTGCCCAATGCAATGGTGTTCTGCCCCCCTGTGGTAACAATAAACAATCTCTATAATAATAATATCCGGTGTTGTCTTACTTAATCTATCATATATATGTTGTATATGTATGTGTGTGCTGATAAAAGTAACACAGAGATAAAATAATAAACGTTTACATTTAGCACTGAAATGCTTACTTTGCAAATGTATTCTAAATAAGGATAAATCATACAGCTCTTAAATAAAGATATATTTATTGGTACTTTACTGTTTGCATTAAAATAATAATAAGAGCAAAGTGTACCGTTTCTTTCAATGGAATAGTAACATTATGTGTCACTCACCATATTGCTGATATTAGGATCAGCTCCATTCTCCAAGAGAAGCTTCAAGATGTCTTCTTGTCCTCTATCTGCTGCCTCATGTAATGGTGTTCTGCCACACTGGTAACAACAAATGATCAACATTATGATATCATATCATCTTGTCTGTCCTCACATTTTATTTGTTTATTTGATATCTATAGCACTGAGGCAAAATATCATGTTGTTCTTCTTCACGTTTAGATAAAACCACCAAAAGTGCTCAATGTATCAGCAGTCAAATGTTTACAGGGCAAATGTTGACATATAATCTAATGACGAAATAAACATTGTAATGTGCAGGTATAGATAATACTTTTTATTAATTGCAAGGAAAGAAAAGGAATTTATTTGCAGGTAACTGTTTACATGTAATACCAGTCCCATGTTTTTTCTTTACATTTTAACCAGATAAATAGTAAATAATTAAAGTAAACAAACTCATCTATTGTTTATGACAAAACAGTGGAAGTACATGTATACCCTCTTTATGTCTATCAAACCAGCCGACAAAGACCACGGTAATTTATTTATATAACAGTACATGTACGTGACACAAACCTCATCCTTGATATTAAGATCAGCCCCATGCTCCAGGAGAAGCTTTACGATGTCTTCATGACTGCACAATGCTGCCTCATGTAATGGAGTTCTGCCATCCTGATAACAATAACTTAGTACTATAATGATAATATCCGATGTTGTATTTCTTCACATTTCAATTAAACAAACTCATAGATCATTGACAAAACAGTAGAAGTACATGTATACCCTCCTTATGTCTATCAAACCAGCCGACAAAGCCCACGGTAATTTATTTATATAACAGTACATGTATGTGCCACAAACCTGATTAGTGATATTAGTTATTACTTTTGGCTTACTTTTCATATTGTTTTTAAACAGTAATTTTATGATAAAATAAAATTAACAAATTTAATTGATTATTCTTTACATTGTTTAAATGAATCATCTATTCAACGAAATCCAGTGCACATGTATGTTACCAACCATGCAACTAAGGGCATTTTGTATTATGTGTCACAAACCTTATCCGTGATATTAAGATCAGCTCCATGCTGCAGCAGAAGCTTCACAATGTCTTTATGGCCTTCACCTGCTGCCTCATGTAATGGAGTTTTGCGAAGCTGGTAACCACAAATGATCAACATTATGATATCATATCGCCTTTCATTACATTGTATGTGGTTATTTGATATCTATAGCGCTGAGACAAAAAAAAATCAGAGAGGTAAAATGTTCTGAATACAAGTCATAAATAAAAAAGAGAGATTGAAAAAAAAAAAATATGTTAATTTAAATGATACTAGTCTCAAGTATTAGTAGCCTAATATATATATATATATATATATATATATATATATATATATATATATATATATATATATATACGATTTGTTCTAACTGGCAACTGACTTAAAAAACGGTCAAATGAAAAAAAGTTAAATATCTATCCCTGGTTCGAATACATCATAGTTAAAGAAAGGAAAAATACATACCCGTATTACCCAACTCGCTTAACGAATTTATTGTCGTTTAACGAGTCAACGTAAATGTGTTAGAGGAGCGAGTCAGGTGAGGACATGAGTTCATAGGACGGGGGATTTTAGATGCCCAGATTGAGTATTCCGCATTAGTATAAAAGGAATAGCGAGACGAGTTATTTTCATTCGAGGCTGTTTCAGCCGTCTGCGTCAGATTGGTGAAGTAAATCGCGATTGTGGTAAAAAAGGAGGCAGGAGTCGGATTCGAAGAGCGAATTAAGATTCCGACGAACGAGAGAGAAGAGATTATGTAGATTTGGTGGTAAACGATAAAGAAGAGGATAACGAAGAGACATAAAAAAGGACAGGTGATGTAAATGAAAACAGTTCAGTCGGTAATATGGCAGACACGTTCTGGTTGTTAAAAACTTATATGGGAAAAACAGTTCAAATAGTTGAAAAGAGAAGACGCAAAAGAAAGTCAAAGCCAATACAAAAAGACGGTATAGCAAAAATCTTATTTTACGGGAAATCAAAAACAGTTACAAATAAATACCGAAGTAATTGAAAATATTCAAAAAGCAGATATGTTAATTAAGAATAAGCAGGTAAAAGAAGACCGTAAGGTATTGAAAGAAAGCACTGACATTTTGCAAAAGCGTAATAAACTCATAAGAATAGCAGACAAATCAAAAGCAGGTTGGAAAGCGGTAAAAGGATTTAAACTGAGGACAGAGGGAAATTTGGCTATTGGAGGGAGTTATGCACACGCAGATACCAAACCCAGGGTAAGGTGCCTCCTCGTAAAAGAATGTACGGACAAACAATTCGGGCAAGAGAAGATACAGGTAGCGAGAGATAACAAAACTAATAGAAGCAAGACGAGCAAATCAAAATTATAAGAAAAGTATATGATCGGTAATAATTTGAGAGATTCGGATAGGTTGAAGAATTACCAACAAAACATTAATTTTAAAGGAAGACTCAAGAGAAACTACCATTTATGGGAAAGCATACAGACGTATAATTGTGTTTTAGATTTATTTAAAAATGGATAAATCATTCCATTTATTTAGACTCCGTCGGATTCAGTTATCAAAAATAACAAACCATCTCTCGAAAACACAGAATTTGTCATTAAAGACATTAAAGAAAATTTGAGAAGTGAAAGAAATCTCAAAGGTGGTAAATACGTTAAGGGTTACTTCTAACGGCAGTACTTGATTTACGACACGTGAATCCATACATTTGGAAAGAGAAAATAAAATTTAAAAATGCTAAATGAATTAAAATTTGATTGTCGGATATAGACAGACTAAATCGCAGATACATGTTCATGAACGTTGTACTAAAAATACTGGGGTTTTCAAATGCAGGCGGACACACACACGGTGGTTATTTGTTTTGATACAATTTTATATAAATTTCATTGCAGTCATTTACAAAATGTATTAAAAATAGCGTAATCGTGTGGTGTTCAGATAATCAAAAAGTTGTGAGAATAGTACAAACTGGATTGATGAAAGTGAAATTACAAACATTGGAATTAAAATTTTTCAATTTTTGTGTACAAAATAATACTATTTTGCAAATAAAATGGATTACAAGGACACAAAACGAAAAAGAGGATTACGGAAGTAAAATTATAGACACAGAGGTTTGGCTAGTTACGAAAAATTCATTTAACTTTACGATTAAAAATGGGGGCACATATACAATAGATAGATTTGCAAATTACGAAAATACAAAGTTAACTCAAAATTTAAGAACTTAAATACAGAAGCTGATGATGCATTTTTACAGGATTTGTCAAACGAAAATAATTGGTTATTACCTACAGTGGTGTTAGTGCCAAAAGTTATAAATCATTTATTATTTTGCAAATTAAAAGGTAATTTAGTATTATCAGATTGGAAATCGACAAAAATTTGGTCTATGTTACAGGATTAAAATTCGAAACGGAAATGGTATGTTAAAGATATCATAGCTTTTATAAATGGACATTTGTAAACAGGGAAAACAAAAAGGTATTATATAGGATAAAAAAGTCAAGAATCAAATTCTGGCAATAATGATAAATTGCTTTGTATAAAAGATTCCAAACGGAAATGCTTGCGCATGCGTAGGTGAAGAAAGCTGGTTGATTCAGGCAGACTTTTTTCTGGATTTGTTGCAACCTCTGAACAGTGGAGACATTTGAAATTTGATCAACATCTTTCTAAAGTGACTGGGGTCTTTTAGAACTGAATGTCACGTCTTTGCGAGGTAGTGGACGAAATATTTGAAACTTTGTCTGTTCTTTGTTGACCCTAGCGGGAAGTGATTTCTATTCACCAGCTACCTGTGTACATCTACTCACCTGCATTGTAATTACGTTACCTGCATAGTAACTGTTCACCCAATTATCATAACAATGAGATGCGAAGGTTTATCTGAGGGTGAATGCCCAGGAAGGAGAAGCGGCGATTGNTTTTCGGGTAAAATTAAACAATGCCTTTTGGTAATTCTCTTAGTTATACTACTTGAAACTATATGCTGGCATTTGGTTGGTTTCTGTGAGATAAAATTGGCTTTGTATGTATCTTTAATTTTAAAGGAAGACTCAAGAGAAACTACCATTTATGGGAAAGCATAGAGACTTATAATTGTGTTTTAGATTTATTTAAAAATGGATAAATCATTCCATTTATTTAGACTCCGTCGGATTCAGTTATCAAAAATAACAAACCATCTCTCGAAAACACAGAATTTGTCATTAAAGACATTAAAGAAAATTTGAGAAGTGAAAGAAATCTCAAAGGTGGTAAATACGTTAAGGGTTACTTCTAACGGCAGTACTTGATTTACGACACGTGAATCCATACATTTGGAAAGAGAAAATAAAATTTAAAAATGCTAAATGAATTAAAATTTGATTGTCGGATATAGACAGACTAAATCGCAGATACATGTTCATGAACGTTGTACTAAAAATACTGGGGTTTTCAAATGCAGGCGGACACACACACGGTGGTTATTTGTTTTGATACAATTTTATATAAATTTCATTGCAGTCATTTACAAAATGTATTAAAAATAGCGAAATCGTGTGGTGTTCAGATAATCAAAAAGTTGTGAGAATAGTACAAACTGGATTGATGAAAGTGAAATTACAAACATTGGAATTAAACTTTTCAATTTTTGTGTAGAAAATAATACTATTTTGCAAATAAAATGGATTACAAGGACACAAAACGAAAAAGAGGATTACGGAAGTAAAATTATAGACACAGAGGTTTGGCTAGTTACGAAAAATTCATTTAACTTTACGATTAAAAATGGGGGCACATATACAATAGATATATTTGCAAATTACGAAAATATAAAGTTAACTCGTTTTAACTCAAAATTTAAGAACTTAAATACAGAAGCTGATGATGCATTTTTACAGGATTTGTCAAACGAAAATAATTGGTTATTACCTACAGTGGTGTTAGTGCCAAAAGTTATAAATCATTTATTATTTTGCAAATTAAAAGGTAATTTAGTATTATCAGATTGGAAATCGACAAAAATTTGGTCTATGTTACAGGATTAAAATTCGAAACGGAAATGGTATGTTAAAGATATCATAGCTTTTATAACCCTCAAGAGACCAAGCTATTTTACTGACTGAAATGACCAAGTGGGGTCATCTATGACCCCATTGTGCTCTGTACAGGGATCCTTATTATAAAAGGCTGTTGAGGCTTTATCACACCCACACTACTCCCAGGATTTAAGACAAGTATTTTATAACGATCTAATGTAATAAGTATTTAGTAATAATACTTTTATTGCATGAAATAACCAAGCACAGATTTTAAGAACAACATTACACCGGTATTTAGACAGTCATTGTCAGTTTCCACTTGCAGAAATATTTCTCTTTTTATTTGCCCCACTAAATGAAAAAAGTACATTACAAAATTACTTTGAGTTAAAACATTTTGATTTATGTTGAGATAGCATCCTGCTAACTTCAATAAGAATAATTAGCTGACTTGCTGAGTAGGGAATACCCCAATGCTGGTAAGGAAGTCATACTACTCAGAACACATTCAATCAACCTACATGTATGTTACTACCACAGCTGTGTATAAAACAAAATCCACACAAACAATTTGTTAATATATGTATAATATGATATCGACAGAATTAACTAGATTTCAGAAATACCCGAAAATTGTAACCATCAAAATGAGAGACCCAGTTATGAGAACAAGTTCCAACAAAGCTACTGAAATGAGATTCAGCGATGCACTATTAGTAACACTTCAAGCACAATCTCCACAAACCACTTATTTGTGCCTATGTTTTGGGCACACTGGCTGGTTGCATGAAGCACATGCATGTGACATTTTCCTGTCAGTGTTGCTAGGGCAAAACATCTGAATAAAATTTAAAAACTAATATGTAAAAACAATGCTTCTCTTTGGGGTCATAAATGACCCCACAAGAGTTTTTGATGTATACGCCACACTAATTGGTTGATCCCTACAAAAAACTGTTAAAGTGTGTAGGATTAGTAGACTGACAAACTCATGCAAGGAAAGAAAATTCGAATAAAAAATAAAGAGATAGCACATTAAATCATATGGCTGGGGTCGTAAATGACCCCACTCGGTCACTTGAGGGATAAATGGACA